CACAGTTTGTTTATCTGAGCATATTTTAAAAATATATTGAAGGATATGCAGTCATCTATTTGTAGCCGAGAGTCCTTGTGGCCCAATGCAATGCATTTCCTAAATGATAAATAATTTTAAGTAACTACAGCTAAAATCATTATTTGTAGCATAGCCCTGATGTAAAATCAGCTGACTGTTAAACAGAGGGTTGCATGAATTAAATAAAAGCAAACAAAGGCAGCACCAATATCTGCTTTTAATGTTTTAATAGAAATCAAAGCAGAGCTCACACACAAACAAGGGAATGGARAGTAAAAATAAAGTAAAATTAAATATAGCATAAATAAACAAAAATGACAGAAAACAAAAAGGCACACACATAAATAGACACTTAACAATTAATAAATACTTTTTAAAACACAATTAAAGATGAACCTTACTAGAATAGTCATTTAAAGTTGTCTTCCTTTTCCAACAAGTTTTTAGCTGTTTTTTTCTCTGTATATTTTAACTTTTAATTTCACGTTTGTTGCTTAGTTCTTTTACCAATTTTTTATGCCACACTTTTAACATAATATTTGCATCATGGTAAATTATGTACACCTCTTGGACTTTGTTGTTACATTMTATTGAGGACTGAGATATTATTATCCTAAAAATGTGTGAATTTCCAACCGTGCACTGACTGTTTTACCACGGACGTTTAGAAGTCTGAGCAGATGGTTAAAGTAAATTAGAGSTGCTGAATGAGAAGTTACACCGTCTGGTTTACATACACAATAATCACTCAGTCGAGTATATACAGATACCTTTGTATTTATTGATGAGTCTGAAGCAGCACAAGAATACATCAAAGACAATGAGGCGAGTCACTAGGTATTTCTCACTGCTTCATGCGAAAGCAGAACACAAAATTACACACTGACTTTAGCATCTTTAGATTGCATCCACCTGTGTTTACAAGCCTGTACAATATGCAGCACTGGTAATATACACTGCAACCCCCACCCTCTCATCTCAGATGTTTTCTAATTATTGCCCCATCTGCTTCTGTTGCATATTTGGCACAGTCTCCATTGTAGTTTTTGTTCTGACTTTCTGTCATCACAAACCCAGGTCTGGCTTTTGTGCTCAGACACTTAAGCGCTTGGTCGACCAGCACGTCATCATCATGGTCAACAATGAGTAACAAAATGACAAGAGCAAAAGGGTTGGATTGTAAATGTTATGAACTGTTGCTGGTGCGCCGATCTGTCTCAAATGCTTCCCTTCCGCTCGCACTGATGGTGTAAGTGGAGGTTGAACACAGCCACTGTATCTCCAAGAGAATGCTTTATTTTTTTTTCTTTTCCCAACAGTCTCTTGAAAACAATCACTTCTTCAAAATCTTGGTTTGTTTTTACAGCATGTCCATGGCTGATGCTATTTCCCAGTAAACTGGGACAGTTTTGAAATGTCCTCTAGGGGGCAGCAGTTCAGCATTCCTTTCTGGTCTTTAGCATCTTGCTGGCATACTTGATAGGGATCCCCCAGCGTCTCATTAGATAGACATCAAACACATAGGCCATTCCTGGCTCTAGGCCCCCGATCACAGCTGTGGTGACGGCCCGTCGAGGATTCAGCTCTTGGAAATACTTGCAGAGAACCCTCTCAGTGTCAGAGCGGGACTCCGGACCCAGACAGGGTGCTGTTAGAGCCGATGGCCCCCCAGCTTCTGCCTCCTGGTTCCCTAGCTTTCTGCGGTACACACAGTACAGACTTCTTTCCTCCGTACCCATCCAGGCTAGGGTGACGCTGTTGCAACCACGCAATCTGTTGAAGGATTTTATTTGCAAGGTGGATGGCAGAGATGGGATCCCTCTGCGGTGGTAGGCTGATGAAATCTGCATTTTGACTGAAGCCATCAAACCTCCTGGTAGAGAGGGATCTATAACAGTTGAAATCTGGCCGGTGGAAGTTCCTTCTCGCTGCAAGTGGATTAGATAAGAAGGACTTCCCTGAAGCCAAACGTGCACCAAATCTGCCCCGACTCCCCGAGAGGTCAAAACCTGTCCCTTACTAGACACGGTCACCTTGATCTTTTCACCTCCACCGCAGCTCTGTAAAGTGAGAAGGCCACTCTGCTGCCAACCCCGTGGGCGAAAGCTGAAGAACTGCTCTGAGTCGGAGCCTCCATTTTTAAAGGACACCCACCTCAGCTCTCCCTCTCTCAGCGGTGCGATCGCAGACCGAGCCTCCTCGTGTGTCCGAGCAGACGTCCCCTTGTACGCCGAGCTGGTCCCATTCAGCCTGTCCATCACAAAAACGTCAAAGTAGTAAGGAGAGTCGGGCAGGAGCTCGGAGACGGTGCAAACGCTGTCCGTCCCCCGACACGCACACTGAAGATCATCGTCAACGAGGGAAGAGGGCAGATTTTGTGCATCCAGAAAAGTGTCCCACTGCTCCCACCACCATTCTTTCAAAATGGGCCACGCTGTCTCTTTCCTGTTTCTTTCCTCCTTGTCTTGCTTCTGATTTTTCGCTTTCCTCGTGCCCTCTTGCACGGCACAAAGGCTGGGGTAGTTCTGCAGAGAGTTGACGAGGACACAGTATTCGTAACTGTTCTCTTCTCGTGGGAGGCCGGTTATGGAAGCGCTGGGCGCCCAGCTGAGGGTGACACTGGTCATGCCTACACCCAATGTGTGAACCCTTGGGTCAGCGGGGAGCAAAGGGAAGATGCCTGAAGATCCCTGGCCTTCGTAGAGGAACAGAGTAGCTCTGGTGCTGTGCTGTTTGGAGCGAAGCTTCAGGATGTAGATGGAGGCTTGTGGATGGGGAGAACCACTATAGGTGTCCACTGCATCACCGGTGAAGCTGTGGATTTTCTCCTCAGTGCCAGGACCCCGCCACCACACCTCAGGCATGCTCTTTTTGGTGCTCCCTGTTAGAAAAGAACACGAGCATTTAGGTCCCATTCATCCAAAAAATAAAAATAAAAAAAACTTACTTCATCTTAGTATAAACCATTTTTTATCTTCTGTTCTTTATGTACTATAAAGCAAACTACATATATTTGCCTCAATTTTTGCATCTTTGACATTTCCCAGTGACCACTTTTAGGTCTTGGAGAACTACTGTGCTTCAGTGATGTGTCAAGACTCTACATGCTGCCAGATAAACTTTAATGTTCTGTGGTTTTGATTCTACAAGTCTGCACCATTGTCCTGCGGGGATGGAGCAGAAAACTTTGGTGTTTGGCAGTTATAATGAAGGGTAAATCTACCACAAAGGCCTAAAACGATTTACTGACTACCAGAACTTACAAAGGGTATAAATACTCATCAGATCATTCAGTTATGACCTATATATGAAGGGTAGCCTTGTTGGCTAGAAAGGCCTTCTGACTACAGTCCGTTTATCATTTGGCATGAGAACAAGAATGGTTACTCCATTTTTTAAAGGGGTGAAGTAGGGCCATACCATGCCAATAAATGGTTCCATACAAAATAACAAACACCAGATTAACACAGTTTTACGATAAATTATCAAGTATTGCCTTCTATGTCTTTATGCCATAACTACAGACAATTTATACAAACTTATGAAGAGTTTGTCCAGCACTAAAGATGTCTAAGCTGTAGATGGAATTAAAAGAATATATATTGGCAGCTTCTTTTGGATGTACACGTACTATAATGCTAACAATTAGACTGAAAATATAGCCGATATGAGTAAAATAGTCATAAAAATGTTTTTCATAAGTTGGCAAAAGTCGTCTAAAACGTTATCATGTGACAAAACCTTAAAATGCAGTTTTCAAGCCAGTCACAATTCTAGAGGAAAAGCGTCTTCTACAATAAAATACACAAAAAGGGTGTTTGCATGTAGCCTTGTTTTCTCAAGTGCAACACATTTTCAAAAACTCTGCATATATATAATTTTTAATCTGAAAGAAGTGTTCATTATACATTTATACATTCTATTGTTTGTAACCAAAAGTGTTTTTCTGATCAAAAACTTCTAGCTGCATGCAGGACATATATTCTCACAGAGAGTAGTGAATAAACTAAAGCATATTTAGCACAAGGTCTCTTGATTTCATAATTTTGAATTGCCACTTGTTGAAGCATGTCTCTAATATTATATGCTTGCAACCAAAATTGTGGTTATTTATTTTAAAGTATTGTCAGAGATGATAGATACTAATACTGAAAACAGTAATTGCTGCTGGACATAAATTCTACTCAACATTGTCCTAAAGTACCTAAAGTAATTACACACAATATGCAATTATCTTCTACAAAAAAAGTAAAATCAGCTGTATAAGCTCTGCAAACTTCATGAAAACAACTCATCAGAGCAATGTAGATATAAAGTAAATTATGTCCACCGATTAAATGAGCAAATACATTAAATGTCAACTGCAACTTCAAAACTAATTACCTACATTTTCATTCACACGAGTGTGTTTTGTTTTGAAACTCCTCACTCGAATGATGCAGTAAACAAACACATAACAACAGTTAGCATTGCCACTTGTTTTCTCTGCTCRTGTCTCCTGGAACTGAAAAATCCCTCTGCAGAGGAGACCAAATGTGACAGAATCAAAGTGAATAATTCACACTGGTGATGGGGACCCATGAGCWCAGAGTCTGAATGATTTATGTGTCATTTTATACCTTCATAATGTCATTTTAACAAGTACAAAAGCTTGTTTAGGTAACCTAAAGAAATGCACAAGTAACACTAAATGAGACCCTTTTTATTTTCTATAAATCTCCACCTGTTAAAGTTCAAAATGTGACATTTTTGGTTCACTTTTTATTATGATTGTAGATCTAAGCTACAGTGCAATATGACCCTTTGAGTTTATTTAATGAGTTTGCTGTGCTAGTTTCAGATTATTGCAGAGCCCACTTTTTTATTTCATTGCTCTTTCAGTATTCAGACTGGAACTTAGCTGCCCCCTCTCAGTGTGTGTTTTATGAGCCCGTTGTAAAATTTATAACAGCAGAACAACCAGATACGATCACACAATCACTGCCTCTGTCCTTCGCTGATATTGTGGGTTGCACATAGAAAAAATATATACCCCCATCTATTTTTCAAACTTGAGCAAACGGGTAGAATTTACTGATAAGAAGTGGTCGGGAAACAAACAAAAGTTTGTTGGCAATCACTTCCCACAAAACAAAGTACAGTTAACCTGTCAAAGTAAAATGACACTTTGATGAAAATCCGTGTTTCGGGCTATAAATGGGGACCCAGCAGTAGCAGTAAACAACAGCAACGAACTCAGAACTCCAATAAAAGTTAAAGCTCAACAATCATATCACTCGTTCATGTCAGGAATTATGGCTGCGATCATCCAAATGATGGAGTTTCTCATCTTTGTCAAAGCTTGAAAGTAGAGGGCCGCTATCCTGCATGTTTTACATGTTTCCCTGCTCCAACATACCCGATTCAGTAATTGAAATACCTTTTAAAGTTCCACAGAAGCCTGTTAATCACCTGTTTATTCAAAGCAAGTGTGTTGGATTAGAGTAACCTCTAAAACCTGCAGGATGGTGGCCATCAAGGACCAGGACTGCGGCTGAAGCAACCTGAATGTCTACTACCACATCAAATTTTATTTAAATATCTGCAAGAGTTATAGCTATTTCTAAATATGGTTGGTTGGTCAGTTAGTCAGATTATTTCCTGAAAGGTTCAACAAAATTATCCAGTGGTTGGTGAGATATTTTAGGTACAGATATACACAGACATGAGCAAAAATGTTATTGCAGGCAATAAAGGCAATAAAGGGGTCACTATCTTTCTTACTGTAATGTATAATTCTGCCTATAGCTTGTTTCTAAAGTCAATTCCCTTCAACAAACACAGTGAGGTAAGATTAGATTGCCCTTCACTAAATCCCAACCTGGTCATGATATTATCTAATTGATTTCCACTGCTTAGCCAGATGTAGTGATGATCTTTGGGATTTAGTGGGGGCTGGGTAGTTTTTTTTTTTAGTCTTTGAGGTACTCACACTGCAGGTTTTTGATAGGTTTGTCTTTCAGGGTGCGGGCAGTCAAGCTCCATTCGATGGGGAGGTTGCAGGGGATGACRGTCACTGACATCCCCGGGACCTTCTTCCTCAGTGTAAAGTACAACCTGCAGACAAAAACAGTAAGGATACCCACAAGAAGGGGCTTCATTCTTCACGGGGAATGTCAAAAAGATAACATCTTGCTTCCATTCAGCTGCAAGGACAAGATGTTTTGTAGTGTACGCTGTGTGTGACCTTCTTTCACTTTGTTAAATAGGTTTAAAATGAGCTGGGATGTTTCATTTTTTAGATGCCAAAGCTTGAAATTTTGRATGTTACAGATTTTTCAAGCAGTTCCAGTTATGTTTCCATTTACTGACATACCGAATAAGCTAGATACTATTTTAGCTTTTACCCTAGCATTTTGCTTGTTTTAGCTTGCAGCTAACTTTTTGCTTCTTTGAGCTATTAACTTACCGTTTACCACTTTTAGCTTTTAGCTGGTGTTTTGCTTCTTCATTTTTAGCTTGTTTGGCTTCTCTGAGCCTTTAGCTGGTGTTTTACTACTTTTACTTTAACTCAGTTTCAGCTTCTTCGAGAAACTAATTCAGCATTCACACTTCATTTTCACAGAAAATGCAATTTCTCTACTTTATGTGTTTCAAAATTAAAATATGCTGTTGTTTTCTATTCAACTATGCTTAATGAAGATAAATTAACTGTTTGGTTATTTGTTAATAAATATTTGCGCCCCTCTTGTACAAAAACAATTGTTCACGATGCCGTGCAGATGGAGGTTGTTTCCAAACAGATGTGCCACAATGGCATTTTCAAGGGCACTCTRTTGTTTATTTAACAGAGTGATTAATTTCTGAATCAGTGTTTTCTTTCCATTATGTGCCGTGTGGTGCTGCATGACTGCACTAGTGGACAGACTGTAGGGAGAACTCAGTTCTGTTTTTTTTAATAAAGTCAGAGCTGACTCTGTTGTGTTTGGTTCAGGCCAAATGAGCTCCTCTTCATTTAATAAGTTGTTTAGCATGGATGCTACTTTTCAAACCATA